CCCCCCCCCCCCCCCCCCCCCCCCTTCATCCTCGTCTCTCTGTCCTCTCCCTCTCCTCTCCCTCTCACCCCTCTCTGGCCATTTATCGGGGAATGACTTGTGCCCTATTGGCTGTTTGCAGAGTCTAGGTCGTCCAATCGATTGTCGAGCTTATGCGAGACGGGGGAGCTCAATGATCGCTGATGCAGCCCCGAATGATGCAAAAGTATCCAAACGCATGCGCACACATACAGTAGACGCACACACACATTCAATATGTTGGTGTCTGTCAGTGGTGAACTGCCACCACGGGCCAAAATGTGATTTAAAGTCACTGAATGGGAAGTGACAATGTTACCAATGTGCAGATCATCAAACAATAGGAAACCCCCCGGGGACTAAAGCAGTGAGCTACAGAACACTATTGATTATACGAGCAAAGTGCACACACTAATGAAAGCTTTCTGCGTCTGCAAATGGAAACATAGCAGGGGGAAGCAAAAATAAATCGTCAGTCTTTATGTGCGTGTGAGCATGTGTGTGTGCGCGGATGTACGTCATGGCAGAGTTAGGTCTCTTCATTAAGAGATACAACAAGAGGAGAGTTTCATCTCTTATTACACTCATTAAGAGAGGGAGGAAGTGGGAGAGAAGGACAAAAGATTGTGGAAGCAGAGGGGAAAAAATGTAATTAGCTTCTGTGTTTCTGGCTTTTAGGAGGAATTTCAAACCCTTATGTAATATATATGAGTGTGTGTGTGTGTGTGTGTGTGTGTGTGAAAGAGACAGAGAAGGACAGAGAGGGAGACAGTGAGCGTGCAGAGGCATCTCTGTTGATTTGAGGGCTCATGTTGTGATGACATCAGTGGTGATGTGCGCAAAAAAGGTTGTTAGGTTCTTTGTCCTTTGAGCAGCTAACAACACACACACCTACACTGATGTGACACACACACACACACACACACACACACACACACACACACACAATTTAATTGCCTATAAAAATATTTCTAGTGCTAATCAACACCTCGGGAACACACAGCTCAGTCACAACCAAAATATAATGATAACAATGTAATGAGCTAAAAAATTAGAACAAACTGCTTCGACTCGAGCCAGGCGTATTAAGTGGTGGAAAACATACAGGGTATTGCAATATCATACGACTATTATTACACAACAATGCTTTTATACCACCCTATAATTTTCTTTTGTTCTACCGTTTCAAATTACTTTAATTGACTGTAATGTAATGATACAGAACTTGGATTATTTATATTTTTTTACATAGTACAGTACAGTAAATCTGTTGTTTTTTAATTGCAACAAAGTTCAGAAAACTTGGTTCGTTTGTCATTATTGCTATATAATGCTTTTATCGCATTACACTGCTATAATTATAATCAGCCGCACCAAACTTTAAAGTATAATCGCTGTGCTTAAAACCACAGTATGTCAGTTTATTGTTATCATTACCTGTGCCATCAATACTACCATCACCATTAGTACATCTTTAGCACCGCATTGTCTGCTGGAGAATTATGTGAGAAAGGTTTCACCGTGTTGTAAGTGATGTGTTTGCTGTCCTTCGTAAAATGATTTCACCTGCCAGTATGTTCGGCGCTTGTCGGTGTTTAAATATTTTGACTTCATGTTGTCATGAGTCAGTTCAGGGAGGAGCCAAGTGCAGAAAAACAAAAAGTGAGCTTTAATGCAGCTGATAAAACACATGCAGAACAAGCATGTAAGTCCAGATGAAAGCAGAAACAAAACTCCAGGGATAAGCACAGGAGAAACTGAAACACACAGGTATATATACACAGAAATAATCACGAGAATGAGACACAGCTGGAGTAGGAGGACACAGGCAAAAGGAGGGAGATGGAGACTGGCTAAGAACAAGGGTGTGGTTGGGAAGACTAGGGTGGAGCAAACAAGACTAATTCAGAACAGGTGTGAAGGGAAGACTCTGGGAACAGGGAAGGACTAACGAGACAGGTGTGACAGAAAACAGGCGGAAAACACAAAGGCAGGAAGTAAAACCAGACACAACACATGAGGAGAGAATCTACAAAATAAAACAGGAAGCAGATTAAACATGAATGAATGACATGACAGAAAACCCAGGATCATGACATGTGTATGTTTGCAAAAATGCTTTTAAGTCTCAAGTTGGTCCTTCCTGGTGATTTTAGAAACCAAAACTCAGCCTGTGATCACTGTGTGGTTATTGATGCAGGAGACATTTTAAAGGAGGATGTGGGTTAATGCACTGTTTTTATTTCAGATTATATTTTGGGGGCTTTGTGCAGCTCAAAATAGACGAGAAAGGAGAGAGGAACAGGGGGTGACATGCAACAAAGGGCTGAGCTTTTTAGTGGGGAACACACACTTCCAGGTGAGCGATACCGGGGTGCCCCAGTGTACATTTTATAAGAGCAAGTCCCTGATTTTATCCCATTCAAACTGGCCATGTGAGTAATTTTTACGGACTGCACGCTTCCATGCCCGTAAAGATTCTGGCATCTTTTAATGTACCTCCTGTTAAATCTCCAGTAAAAAAATAATAACCCCAGTTTATGGTGCCCTTTCAGAATTGAAAACCTTGGCATTTCCTTTTAACAAGGCACTCCAGGAAGTTTTTACGTCTGGTATCTTCAATCCAGAGCTAAACTACTGGTCTTCCTCAGTGTTTGTTTAGCCATGTTGACTTGCGCTGCTTATGCTAACTACAGAGCTCTAAAGGCCACGTAGTTATTAGCCCCGATCATGATTCATTTGATGTTCAAAATGGCTGTGAGAATGACTTTAACAGGTGTAGGTGACCATTTGTCTGGTGCAGTTTCCCTGTTGAGTCCTTGTGTTCATATAAATCACTCCAACCCCTTGAATAGGAAAAGCTAAACTACTGTTCCCTTTAGTTTTTTACTTCATGCCAACCACCCAGTTCTTTGTCTATAATTAGAAAACAACTGCCCCAGCTAGAGGAAATGTGAAACACTTCACCTAATTTGTTCCAAAGCCTTTTTTCCCATGTTAAGTGGTATCTGAGACATAAAAGTTAGGAACAGAAAAACTGAGCAATTAACTCTTTTGTTGTATCAACTGCCAATTGACAACAGAACAACAATCTCATAGAGTATTTCTGTCATGCGTCATTATCATTTTAACACAGTGAAAACATTGCGCTCAAAGGAAGACACGAGAGTGCACTGACATGCAGGGACACAGAAGACAGACAGCGCGAAAGAAAAAGAAAACATCTGAATAAATAAAACAGTGAGGAATGGAAGACAAAAGAAAGACGCAACGAAACAAAAGAAGGATGTCAGGGAGAGAAAGAATAACAAAAAGACAGAAAGACAGAGACAAAGTGGAGCAGAGAGAGAAGAAAGGACTAGATTGGATTGTTGTGCGAAGCGCTCTTGACTCTGTGATGTTCGCCGAGTTCTGACAGCTCCTCTAGTTCAGCACTCCCCTACCTGACACTTCAATACAGCCTACTGCTGGTCTATGAGCATCTGTGTGTGTGTGTGTCTGTGCATGTGTGTGGTTTAAATCAGACAGAGATTGTTTGGAGATAATTCCTGGGAATTTCTACCTTTGGTTGTGTGCGTGCATGCGCCCGCGAGCACGTGCGCGGGCATCTTAACTGCCACCAAAACCTAATTCTGTTCCTTAATTCAAAGCAGAATCGAGTTGAGCTGACATACACAGCAGGGGTAAACGAGACGGGGAGGATGTGTGTGTGTGTGAGGGTGTGTGTGTGTGTGAATGTGTGACAGCAACTCCCCCTGTGGTGTGACCCAATTTAAAGTGGGGAGATGAACACAGCTCCACAGTGAGAAGCAGCCCCTGACAGGAAAAGAGACACACACACACACACACACACACACACACACAAACAGCAAAAATGAAAAAGAATGAACCAGACAGAGAGGAAGTTACCTTTACAGAGAGAGCGGGAAGCCCAGTTGGTGCCTCTTTAAGGTGCAAAAATCAAAATAGAAAGTAACAGGCCTCCCTGTTTCTCACTCCCCATATCCGTTTCCATACGTGAGTGTGTGTTTGATTGTGTGTGTGTGTGTGTGTGTGTGTGTGTGTGTGTGTGTGCGTGTTTGTGTGTGGTTTCTCTGACTCACTGGGTTGAGGAGCACGGTGAGAAACAGCTCTCCCCCACGGATGCTTTTGTCCAGTTCTTTAGGTCCGCCAGGGTATTCCTTATAGTAGATGGTGTGAGTAAACAAGCCACACGTCTGGCGGGGCAGCACCTACACACACACATACACATAAAAGGAGGAGCTGTTATTATCATTCATAGCTTCAGTTCACACAGGAAGTGCAACTGAACAAATAGTGTACAGTCGGCTGAGCCAAGTATGATCAGCAGGTACTAACTTCTAAGACTAAAAAAATATGAATGGCAAAAACATGACAATTTGTTGTTTTTAATGGCCCATCAAAGAGCACTCCACTGACTTTATATTGCACTCTTACAATACTGTGGGACTCTTGATAGATGATGAATAAAGGATCAAAATCAATGCAGCAGAAGCAGTTTCACACCTTCTTCTTTCTTGTCAAAACCTGCATTACCCACAGTGCAACTCAACCGCAACCCCTCTGACAGTTTGGTTGGAGATTCAGGTGTGTTAAAGCCCTGACACACCAAGGCAACAGTCGGCTGTCGGTCAATGTTGGGCTGTTGTTGAATGTCTGTTCACTTTTTTTTTTGGCCAATTCAGTGACAGCACAGCCCATCAGTGATTGAACTCACTGTCATTGGCAATTTGGCTCAGCACACAGGAATAAAAATGGAAGTGAGGAAAGTAAACAAACAGCTAAAGTCAAGAGGGAGTGAGATCGAAATAAACTTGTTACATGAGGTAAGATCATTTTTTTAGCCACTGAGCACTTCAGCAGAAACCTTTCGTAATGGTTTGTGCTGTTGTTCACTGGTGCACGTCAAATATGCTTTGTTCTTTAAACACTGGATTGTGTTGTTAATGTGCTAACTGGCTAACTAGCTTCAAGACAGTCTTCCAGTTTCCCCTTTTGAATAAGGAATATAGACTACCACTATTTGCTGGTGTGGAGAGGTATTTCCCCGATGTGCTTGTTGGCCATCGGCTATAGTCTTTGGGGTGTGTTCATGTGCAACTTTTTAGCCGAGATACAGGCAACGTAAGGTGACCAGATGTCCCGCGTTGCACAGGACTGCACAGCATTTCTGTCTCTTTTCACGCGTCACGCAAATTGAGACCATGTCCCGCATGATTGATTGTCACCCGCACTAGCATTCCCCCCCAGCCAATGAGAAGAAGCTGCATGCAGCTGCCGGCCCACATGGGCTCTCCGTGAGGCACACGTTTTCTTCACTGCTAGTTCTCTGAAGTTGGTTTGGTGCATCTGGGCTTTTAGGGCATTGTCGCATGTGAGCAAACACAGGCGAGTGACTATTGCGATATTCATGCTGAATGTGGGCAGTTCCTGATGCGACAGACATGGAAAGCAAGTTTGCTAGCTAATGTTAGCTAGCTTGCTAATAAATATCGCACAATATAATGGTAATGGCAAATTTTCAATTATTTTACATTTTCTTATGTTTAATGCCTGTCTCTTGACTCACTGCCAGCCAGGCAGCTCCTTACATGTGGGCAGTTTGTGTTTTTCATGGCTATTATCATACAGTATCGGCTGGTTAAACAAGAAACCATCCTCTCCTGCACACATGCTTCTTTGGTATTGGTTGAGGCTGGGACTGCATGGATCACAGTTCACCAGAGTTAAACTCCACGCTATGTGAAGATTCAAATTTGCTTTACAACCAGGAGCGAATGTTTTATTCGCCCTCTGCTCGCATTGAATGGAAGTGAACAGGAAGCGAATATTCGTCAGTGTTAATTTAGCTCAGGTGTGATCATACTCTTACGCTAGTAGCAGCTATTGCAGCCTCTAGCCGCCTACCCTCAAGCAGAGGTGAGGAGCGAGCTGCAGAAGTCTGGTAAGCTCACTTCTTTCTAACTCCACACCCTCAGATTTTCTTCACTTTCAAACTTAAAGTTTTTAATCACTTAAAGGGCTCTAGCACATTTATCAGATTTGGCTTAAGTCCCGGCGGAGCCACGAAAGGCTTTCCACAACTTGTTTCACATATGCTATAGTGCTCCCAAGACCTGAAAACACACTTTGATGTTCCCCTTTAAGTGGCATAATGAAACAGCTGTGATACAATTATTTGAGATTACACAGGAAACTAAAACAGCCAGTTCTGTGTGAGGTTTAAAAACTGCTGATCATTCACCCATTTCAGGGCCAAAGCACAAACACACCAGGTACCAACATGACTTCAAATAACAAAAAAATAATTCAGCCAGCAGCATAAAAGATGACAGGTGTATGGATGAAATGTACAGCTATAGAGTCAAGCTTGTCTACTTGGCAGTTTCTAAATATGAAAAGCAGACAGCCGAGCAGGTCAGGGATATTCTGATGTGTTGTGTCATCCAGCATATGGTAATGTTACCTATCCCACCGGAGAAGCACAGGTGCCAATTCTACAGATGGTTCAAGTCACATTCTTGTAGGGGTATCAAACAGTTTTTCACAGCTGTCATTTTAACTTGTCATAAGATTAAAAGCACAGGTGTAATTAATAACATAAATAATGGCGCTTTTCCATTTAGGTGTTCGGGTTCTCCGGTATCGTGCATGCTGGCTCACTGACACAGCTTACAGGCACACTCAAATAGAATGGAGACATCATTAAATGTTATTAGTTCCACTTGTGCCTTTTCCTGTAATGACAAGTCAACAAGTCTGCTGTGGGGAAAAAAGGTCTGTAAGAGTCAAATTAGGGTTGTCCGTGGACACACCATTTACTGCTGTGCTACAGCCATGAGTCCTGAAGAGGTGTCCAGCTGAGATTTCTCCACTACAGCAGTAGAGACCCTTCATTTTCCTGCAAGTGCATGAATTGCACCGGTGAAGTTAAGTCTTCCTGGGGCACTGTTCAGTTTCTCTCCTCACCTACACCTGTTTGGTATTTTGGTGACTCCTTGTTTACCGAAGCGGAGGGAGATAATAATGGATTACTTTTAATCCCGCCTCGAGCAGGTGCACTGTGCACCCTTGGCCACGAAACACTGACACACCCTGTGTGAGTTACATACTCATGCTTTGATTGAAGAAAGCAGGGTCTCACATGTCGGTTTCCCAGATTCTCTTGATTGCTTTTTGTAAATCTAACAACGTCATAGTTGGTCAAGGTTTTAAAAGTGACAGCAACAATTGATTGTGATGACATGACATGTTTTGGGCTTAGGGACTCTGCACAGCTTACCTCCGCTGTAACATTCACATTTGTCAAAGATCTGACAAAGTCTTTTTGGCCGGCATAAATATTTAATTAACTAAAATGATGTGCACAAAAAAACAAGCACACAAGACTAACAGAGTGCTGGATCAAGTGTTTAACAGCTGATGAATTAATCTTCTTTTCATTAGGTCATTAAATGACTTAAATGAAGAGCAGAGAAGAAGAAGGTCTTTATTGTGAAGTCCTTGTGGAGCACTTCTCCGTGTGAAATAGAGAGTAAAGGCTGGAAGAGCAGATATTGGTTTATCTATAAAACACTGCAGACTCGTTGACACACACACACACACACACACACACACACACACACTCACACACACTCGGGAAAGAGAGAGAGAGAAGGAGAGAAGGAGAGAGAGGGAGAGAGAGAGAGAAGGCCACCAGAGCCACAGACACTCAGCACTATTTCACCAAACCAATTATCCACAGAGCTATAGCTCAAACTGATATAGTACATTTTAAAAAGAAATACACACACACACACACACACACACACATACACACACGTATGCATGTTTGTGAGTGAGCGCACGCGCACACACACACACACACACACACACACACAACACAATCCCATATCTCAGTCTGATTTGTTCTGATACTGTGGGTCCAGTGGGTGGCTCTCAATCTGCTGACAGAGACACACAAACACCAATTTTACAGCCTTAAGACAACTTCCTGTCCTCCTCGGAGCAAACAAAGATGGAGCAAGGGGCAGAGGGGAAAGAGATTAATAGACAGAAATTGCAAGAAAAATTGGAAGTGAAGAAATGTGAAAGGTGAGGAAAATGGGACGGTTGTGAGTGATGTGTCGCAGTAACTTTACGAGAGGTCAGGAGGCTCGTTGAAATTATCACAAGGCGAAAGCTCGCCAGCTGGGTTGTGGTGAAATTATTTAAAATTTAAATTCTGCAAGCAGGTGCACACACACACACACACACACACCACAAAATAAACTGCCTCTCAGAAAAATGTTCGCCATCCATTTCAAGTTTGTTTTCTCTTTTTCCTAGCCTCCCTTTGCTGTTCAGTCAGTTCAGTATGCAATGTCTCGGAGCAAGAGATGGACCTCTTCACTGTCTTCCTACTCTGTTTTCACATTGCTCCGCAGTTTTTATTTAACAGTTGCTAATAATAGTGCGTATTTCTACAGTTTGTAAATAGAATTTGACAGAACATTGTCACCCTTAGGTCCACTGAGTCATCATCATATCACATGATCTTCATCAGCAGATGGCGTCTCCTGAGATGTTATGAAATCGTACACTTTAGGCCTATAAGTTAATAGCTATTTTTTTCTTTAGTGTACAATCACCTGAAAAGAAGAATTGTGTTTTTGTTACCTTAGGATGGTAAAATTTTCTCCAGAGAGGAGTTTGACTCTGAACTCACATCATCTTGATACTCACTCAGAGAACAGGCTGTTGCTTCACATTCCCTTAAAAGGTCCAGTGTGTAGGATTTAGGTAGATAGTGGCAGGAATTGTATATAATACAAAAAGCATGTTTTCTTTAGTGTCTAGTCACCTGAGAGAAACACTCGTTGAGTTTTTTGTTACCTTAGAATGAGCTTTTTATATCAAAATAGGGAGCGGGTCATCATCTACGGAGTCCACCATGTTGCACCTCCATGTTTCTACAGTAGCCCAGAACAGACAAACCGAACACTACCTCTAAATACGGTCATTTTGTTTCTGCATCTCTGCGATGAGTGTCGGAAAGACACAGATTTTTTTTCTTTATTTGGTGTTTTTACCGGTTAAAATTACCTAGTCTGTTTGTTTTGGAGAGGAAGACACCTCTACCGATAATTTGTGTGGAACTTCTGGAACTTAAAGCCCCTACAAGGAACTTTCATTTTGAGTTGATTTTGGTGACCCTGTGGACAAAAGCGGT